TCAGGACCCTCACTCCTGTGGTCAGGACCCTCACTCCTGTGGTCAGGACCCTCACTCCTGTGGTCAGGACCCTCACTCCTGTGGTCACTTTCTTCATTTATGTCCTCATTATCCCTCAAAAAATGCACAAGTCTGAGACAGAAAAACACTGAAGTTTTACAACCAAAGGAATTAAACTGTAAGTAACGTTTCAAAATGTTGTTTTGATTTACCTGCAGGTTTTTCTCCTGTTACTGTGAGTTTTATGAGCAGATAGACCTCTGAATGGTCCATTAGATTGATTCCTTACTTYGTAAACACAGAAAAAGTTTGTGCTTATTTAAAATGTACTATAATAATATAATATAATACAGAATCAGATGTTACTTTACCTGATGCAGACTGAAGATCATTTTCTTCTGTTGAGGTGTCGGAGTCACTGACAGACACAGGGTCCAGACTTCTCACAGAAATTCCTGGAATAAAAAACTGAAATCAAAAATAACAAATAGAAGCGATCAAACATTGTAAATGTAGAGTAATGTGGTTTTACCACCAGTCAAACATCTGGGCTCAGCAGCACTGCTGGGACTGTGGATTTGGTTTTCATGGTCAAAATCTTCTTTCTGGTTAACTGGTGACATATTTACTCCACAGTTTCCAGAGTTGCATTTCCTCTGTTGCTTGTTGGACCAGGAACAGCGATCCAGTGGATCATCTGCTGGAGACTTCTGATTGCTCAGGCCACTGTCAGAGATGCTGTCAGCCTCCACCTCCTTCAGCTGTTCCATCCGATCTGTTGGAGACAATTCAACCATCTCCTCTCTGAAGCRCCTCACAAAGTCCTCAGTGCAGATACTCTCTGAAGGAGGTCGGGTTGCAGCGATTGCTCCTCCCTTCCAGATGTCTCCAAGAAGCCTCTCTAGCCTCCAGATGACCTGTTCCCTTTGAGACTCTTCTTCGTTATCACTCCTGTCCAGAAGTTTGGTTTCCCTGTGACTCTCAGAACCTTCCCAACAACCTGCTGTATTCTCTGGAATAAAGCAGATATGAGGAGTTTTTTTTACTGCAGGAAAACCTAAAATCTTCTGCTTGAAGGAAGGATCACTCTGTGCTTTGGTATCACATCAGTTTGTCAAGTTTAAACATTTATCAAAGATGTCATTGCAGAAGCTCTGAAGCATTATCCTGCCCACAATTTTAGTCCTATGTTTTGTTACGCAGCTTTGAAACAAAACTTGTGAATTAAAACCACAACACGGGGCTTCTTCAGGGATTGTGTTTTGACTTACGATGTAATTAAAAAGTGAGATTAAATAATGTTGATCTATTGGATTTTTATGCTTTTTTGCTCAGGCACTCCTCAGAGTAAAAACATGTAATTCAAAGTTTAAACAAGTTACAGAAAGTTTAAATGTATATGTCTGAATGGGTGCATTTTTACACAATCACAGTATAAGTGTGGAAGTTTTGGACAGCTGCGTTGACACCCTTCAAAGTTTCTTCAGATAAACTAAACTCATAATTATATTCTTTCAATCATATGCCCGTCARCAGAATTACAATTCTTTTAGAGAAATGTGATTTAAATGAAGTTTTGCATGCCAATATTTAAAATCTTACCAGAGGTTTTCACCATCGTTGGAGCGTGCATCAAATCGAGAGGAAACGTGGAAGTGTCATTTGTTTGGGTTGTAATCCTAAATTCTGCACCTTTGTTTGGAGAGTGTCTCCATACCTGAAAACAAACCATTTTAAATCACACATTTTACAGCTAATGCTGTTTAAACAAAGAAACAGTAACCTGCAGTTGTTCAAGCTGTCCATCCATTGCATCCAGGAGGAGGTCACAGTGGTCCAGCTCCAGAGGCAGAGAAGCCAATCCAAACATATTTTTATTCAGATCTAAAATGAAAGACAAGGATTAACTATGAGCTGCAAATCTGAAAAAAAAAAAAAAAAAAAAAAAAAAAAAAAAAAACAAACAAACATGTTTCTGATTCTTCTGACCAGTAAACAGAAGGTTATCAGTGTCTTCTCCTTTTCTGTCTGCCTTGTCGAGGTCGGCCATGTTTTTAAATCCAGAGACAAATGTGGAGATATTTCGTGTGGTTCATCATCAGGAGGGGAGGAAGGGGGGCTTTTTGTTGACAAGTTGTCTGGGAAACCAAGTCAGTCTGTGTTGGCAAACTTATTCACTAAGAAAAAAACTCTTTATTACCGTTTCTCCCTCTCTCCAAAGTGAACGTGAAAAGTAAAGAAAAGTCCTTTTTTCTACTATTTTCCTCAGATGTTGAACTATTTTTGTTTGCAGGATTTAAATAAGCATGTCACTCTGTCAGCAAGAGTTCAAATTCAGCAAAGTTTACATTTTACATCTAAAAAAACAGCAACAGCTGAAATTTAATATTAAACTAATTTTGTGCTAGGAGGGCTCAGAACTCTGGAGGTAGGTTGAGGGGAAAATGCAAAAATAAATCTAACAAATGTTTTAAATCGTGATATCAAATCTGTTTTCCAATCGTTAAAAAATATATTGGAATGTTAAAAAGGTTTAATTTAATTTGTTCTTATCTTCAACAGTTTGTTGATTTTTTTATTGTGAATATAAAACATGTTAATAAAAGTCTGCTAAATGAATGTAATAATTAATGAATAGTGAATTAAAATGAGGAAAAAAAGGTTGATGTTTCTTTACACGTTTTGTAGCATTGTTTGGTTGTAAGC